TGTGTATGTATATGTGTTTTATAAACTTTTTATTTAAATATTTTGAACAATATAATGACCGGAAGTGTGCCTTGGTATATTATATTCATTGTAATTTTCTTCTTAACCTTAATTAATAATAACAAATTTTGTCATAACGTCTAGTTTTGATACCTTTGTATGAACTTTTCCTCTGAATGTTGTCCGGTTATACAGCTAATTTAACATTAACGGAAACACATGGTGGCGTGGCATGGAGTGGCTGTAGCGCGTTGTCCGTTCCATTCAACCAGTCCTCATTCATTTGCAATTTGGGCCTCGGCCCGATTCACACTTTACGTGCGATGGACTCTTGTGCTTCAGCAACTCCATGTGGAGTTGAGTGTGGAGACTTGAAATTAGACTTTACCTTTATTATTATTATTAAGGTCTGTGCTTTCTATATTTTGGTGTTTTATTTATCTTGGCTTATAGTTTTTACTTTTTGGTGTGTGTAATGTTAATTAATGATTCAATTTATTGTAATATTTGTTGTGCTCAAGCATTGTTCATTGTTTATACTCTAGCCTTGATGAAATTAAACGCATGAGCAGATGCACTAATGTGATGCGAAACGTTAACTGTGCATGACCAGAAGATCGATAGTGCTCTAACGTTCGAGAGTGCACAAACTCCTTACTATCTACCCTGCCCGCGGTGGCCCACAGCAGCGACTCAGTATCGGCAGCGTGTAAAGCGCCTCCGACTGTTCTCACGTCTAGTTGCAGCTCGTGCAAAGGTTGCACGGTGCACAATCCCCAGATAATCGAAAAACATTTTATATGTTACGAATATACATTCTCGTTTTGATGACATTCAATTTTCAAGATATTGCAGCAATATCGATGCATGTAAAATTATTTTGAAACCAAAGAGCGCCCAACTGACGCTCTCCCAGGTATTGCACCGTGCTCTTGCCTATATTATTGCGTATATTGCATTTATTTTTTTACCCTACTCCTTAGCACGCTTCAACATTGGGCTTTCGGTGCGGCAACCAATGGAATAGGTCGTCGAGCGTTGCGCGGTCCCACGGGGAATCCCAATTTTCTGTCTTCGTCTGACACTAGCTCTAATTAAATTTTATGGATTTCGCGTGTTCTTGAAAATACATACGTTCAGCCAATTATTAACGGTCTTGAATACATTATTGATGTTTGGAAAATTCATTTTATATTCATGTTACGTTTTTGATTCAAAATGTGCATTTGGTGCCGTATAGGCTGTTCTAGAAGGAAGTCCCTTTCTGTCTCTCAGGGTATATGCGTATTTTCGGCAGCAGTTACAGCTAGTTATAGTATTCCAGCGATGTTGTGTGTGTGGAATATCTTTATTAAAATATATACCTGGGGAGTGAAATTTTAGAAATAAATTTTGAAAAAAGGTGTCCAAGCAATAGTGCTCGTTGCGAAGTGATACAATATTATTTTCTCAATACAATTTAATGCAATTACCTGCAGAATTCATACAAAAACCAAAGTGTCCAGTGGAAATCAAAGCCAGAACCACGTGCGTGGAAGTACACACACACACACACACACACTAAGCACAAAATTATGTAAGTAATATTTCAATATAGACTTACTTACCTTACCGCACTTTTAATTAATTTACATGAATTGCTTACAAAATATTATATATCAGTGTTCTGAATTTTGGAAATTATATTTCCGCCATTCGATTCAGGTGCAACCTCCAATCTGTTGGGGTGCCAGTCGACCCCAACAGATGCCACTCATCTGACTCCTACGGTGACGCTCGAGAAGGGCACAGATGACGGTCTCTTCAGTTTTCAAAGCGTGGGTGTGAATGGCGAAACGTTTCGTCAGCGTCAGACGCTATGATTCATAGCTACGATCACGACCTAATGCATGTCACCGCCTGTCAGGTGCTTTAAACTTTTGAGATTTCAACCACATGGCACGAACGTACTGTCGTGAATCCTATCGCTCTGCGACATGTATTCTTCCGCGAACTGGACGCGCCGTTCGTCAGCTGTCAATGCCTCTGCTGGCTTTACACTTGCAAGAAAATGGCGAGCAATATTATTCCGCAAGAGATTATTGTAATGTAAACATTTCGACAATAAATATTTCTGATGTTGGCAATATTTCTTGCTAGATATTCCGGTCGTAGTGTAAACTCGTGCGTTTCCATCCTCGGAAAGATATTGCCGGTTGTTGCTGGAACTAGAATTGGATTGAAGTCTGAAAAAGATATTGCTGGAAGAAGGCAATGATGACCCCGGTCACATGCGCAGGAAGTACGGTTAAAGCAGTACATAGACATATTTGCATTGTAATATGCATTTTTCCGTAAAGAGGGTTTATGAGAAAGGTTTACTGCAATAAAAGTGTATTAAATAATCCCTCTAAGTTGATTATCAAAGGTTCAAATTTTGGTTCAGCTATAGATGTCCCCAATTATTATTTATTACGTTAAAATTATTAAGATATATTAATCTAATATAAATCAATTTTAAGATTAATCTATAATCCATCAGTAGTAGGTAATGGATATTTTACAACTTTTCACCAAATTAGTACATGTACTTTACTTTGCTCCCTTGAGAATCGAAATCCACAAAATGTATGAAAAATATTAACACACTTCCACCTAATTCGCACAAGCACCCATTTCTTTCTTCATAAAATTTAGTCACACGTCCACACAAATCGTCGGCGTTACTTCATCTCCTCATTTAGCACAAGTGCGACAGCAACTAGCATCTTCTGCCTTCCACTAGTAATGTCGGGAAGTGAGGTATAACCTCTTAATTTCATGCGCCATTTTCCTCGCGCCGTCACCAAGCACGGAAACAAATAGTTCTAATATAAAACGATTAGCAATATCTTGCCGGGAAGATCTTGCTCAGATCTTCCTGACAGTATATTGCCCCTCCATGCTCTTGTTAGTGTAAAGATGACCGCAAGAAGCTGAAATAAATTGCTGAAAGATATTGCGGAAACGTATTGCTAATGTAAGGCCAGCATTAGAAGTGCCAGTTGAAAGCTCGTGCTCTGAGGATAGGGAAAGTTATCACGACCGATTTAAGTTGTTCCGATATAGTCACTAAGAAGAACATTGTAAAAACTGAAACAAATCCTATCGAAAGCCATATAAACTCACCTTTCGAAGACTCACAGTAGAATAAATCAAAAAGAAAGAATCATGTTGATTTTTTAGAAAGTTTTGAAGTGCATTTGTCCTGCACTCTAGCAAAATATTTTTTAAAAAATTACGCGAAGTCACGACTTAGCGAAATGACAACAATAGGGAGTACCACAGCCAGTGCAATTTATCCAACGTTTCTGCAAAGTAAAGGAATGATTTATACGTGGACTCGCAGACCACGTACAGCAATTTAGTTCGATAAGAAGTGGCAAAACAACCGATCATAGGACTAAGAGTACAGAAATCGCGCCCGAGCGCAACCCTCCTCTCCTGACGGAATGACCCAAACAGCGGGTCATTCAGGTGACCCGCAGATACGCGTTGGACCAGAGCACGCCAAATAGGTCGTACGCTTAAGCGGTCCTGTGTTCCACTAAGGGTTGGATTTTATTTACTTACTGGCGTATTTCTTTAAAGTTCAAATTACAAGTAAATTAGTGCATCATACTTCCGATGAGAATGGTTGAATCGGGTTGAGCGGAGAAAATCTTGCAGCCGAGGAGAAACAATGGTCCCGTTTATGAGAGGAAAATGCGTAAATATTATCCGATTTCAAATTAAGTAATCTGGCTGGTGATCAGCTGGGACGTAGTAAACCAATCAGAAGCTTCAGTTTTGCAACTGAATCACCCGATAGGATAACCTCGTCCTAGCTGATCACCTGTCAAATGTACTTAAATTTTAATTGGAGATGATCGGTCTAGCACAAAGCCATGCCATCTTTGTAAGTAGGCCATGACTCAAAACGACCACTTTTAGACACCAATCAGGTTGGTCTGCGTAAAGAGGTTGTACTGTACTGGTACTACATTCCGCACGAATTTTGGAGTCTACTTGAACAGCCTGTCGTTGCAATTTTGAACTCAATACGGGAAGACTTTGAAGGAAAATTTTGTCCAAAATGTATTCTGGTCACGAAATATTGAGGTTGTTTGTTATAGCGTCATATTTGAAAACTAATACCTGCCGCGATCGTTCCGTCTCCCGAATTCAAGAACTTTCACCGTCCTGGTACACACATAACTTGTGCTTCGATTTGATTTACGAAATTAAGAAAACGCGCATTTAGTCTCCTAATCAGAATTAAATTAGTTGTAATAAGATTATATCTAATTAGAAACGAAGTACTTTTTACATAGCCTCTCTGAAAGTTGAACAAATGTTTTCGAAACCAGCTGTTTCAAACCTGGAATTAGGCAGCTTTCATGGTGATCAGATCAGCTGTTTGAATGCACAAAAACATTTGGTTTTCCAAGGCACAGTGCTAGTTCAGAAAATCCGCGCGCACTCAGTTCGCCAAAACTACTGAGCGACGCATCCAGTCACACCGCGCACGGCCCGGCGCAGCGCCGATGGTACCCGCCAGCAGCCTCCGAAGGCCGCAGGAGGCGCTCGTGACCCACTTCGGTACGGGAGGGGGAGTTTGGGGCGGACATGGACGCCACTCGTGGGATGAAGGGGCGGGTCTGTGGGAGGCTCCGCCCCTCGCCACGCCCCTTTGTCACCTGGCCCGTCGGCCTCTTCCCACCGGCGAGTACTCGTCACTCATTACCTTGCGCAATCATTCATCTGTCCGCAGAATCACTTGCTGGCATCTGGCGAATGTTGATGTAACAATTCATTATGCGCCAAACTACAAATTGTCTAAATTTGTTTTAAACGCTGCTTATTACCATACCGTACCAAATATTCCTCACATCCACTTGAGGTTAAAAAAAAGAGAGTTCGAAAATACTTTACAATGTTTAAACATAAATATAAGGAAAAGTATTGTTGCGCCGCTCGCAACAATGCCCCCGGGTTAGCTGCACCCGTAGCGGCGTCCAATCGATACGTACGCGCGCCACGCGCCTCTCTTGGGAACCCACAATGGCCGGCGGCGACGGAGGTGGCAGCGCCGTGACGGTCTCCTGCCCGTTTGCCTGCCGTGCTCGCCCCCGGCGAGGTCGCTCACCCGCCCGCGACACCCACCCACCACCCCGCCCACGCGCCACCTCCCCTTCCCCGCCGACGCGCACGCGGCCCCGCCCGCCCGCGTGTGCGAGACGCCAAAATGTCGCCCGTCCCGCTTCTCTTGGCGCGTCACGCCGCTGCAGCGTTCGCCTACTTCTCCGCACACTGATCGCTCCCTGCCGAGATAAGATGGATCATCGCCGCTACGGCTTATTGAGGCGCGTCGCCCACCCCACTCTCCACACCGCCCCCACCCACCCATCACGTGCGCGCTCTTCCCAGGCCACCTACCCCCTGGACGGCCGTCGCGATTTCGCCGTTCGATGCTTTCTATTAACTAATGTCGTAAACTGCTAGCCTCGGTGCAAACTGCCCGCCCCCGCCCATTGCCTGATTAGGGCACTGTCTGCCGTTCGCGCCCTCGCGCCGGATGCACGTTCTCCCGCGCAGCCGCCTCCGCCCGCCGCTAATAAGTGTCCAAGTTTCATTTAAAAAAAAAGACATGTGAGTTATAAACAAAAAACCCTACTATCCCCAAATGAAACGTAATCAGTGGGCGAACTATGCGAGCTGTGAGCCAAAGAATACAATCCCCAAGCACTTTACTATTAGAGGTGTTTCATTCTCATGTTATAAAAGCAAACTAATAACTAGTTGTGACTGGTACATTGGACGTGAAATACAGCCACATTTTATAATTACTGAGATGTAAGAGCTGGATTTGCATCTCATAGCAATCGCCGGTTGGCCGCAAGCACCGGTGTCTTGCTCGTTCTCTGGTGCCGTACTACAAAATCTGATCGATCTAGGCGGCGGAAGGCTCTCTAAAGGTAGAGGCAATGAAGCCAAATCTCTGATTCCCCACAAATATAAAGCTGTCATGAAACTCGCATCTCAGTTTAAACAAGAATACTTCATTCAGTCTGCAACCATAAGATACGTTGAAAGCGTATGTGGCATATGTGCGGGAATGAAATGTTTTCTATCCCTTTCAAATATGGCGACTCTCCTCTAGAATCCTCATAGTATATAATTACAAGTAAAATACAACTTGCCCTTTCATCCTGCTAATACTAAGAGGTATCGTGAGATGATAAAATGTGTCGTACACAACTATCATATTAACTCGATTTTCGCAAGCATTTCACAATAAAAATCGAATTTTCCACACTAACCTTCCTATTAAACGACACATCATCAGTCTGATGTCTTGGCTTCGAAGTACGTGACCATTTTCTGTGATAACTTACCTCTGCAGAACCCAGCAGAACCCTGTAGTTGAACTCAGGACATGCCTCTTCGTTCGATTCAGCGAGGGTTAGAGTAAAACGCACAGTCTTCGGTAAATCTTTAGTTTTCTTGTCTTTCTTAGTAGAACCTAATGATGTCAAGGTAGCCCTTTTTTGTTCGGACATTATACATCAACGGCGTAAACATACAGCACCAAAGTATTTCCTATTTAGCGTCAACATATTTAAACAAGCTACTGACACAACGCCATCTTGCACTCAACTGTTCAAATGTGCGCAGAGCGGCAGTGCGCAATAAACATTACAGTGCACTATGGGTAAGGCAATGAGATACGTTCTGAAATACCAACTTAAATTAAAATATTGAAAACGAAATAAAATGTGAATTTATGCGCTATACCATCCTTTAGACATTGTCATTTAATAAAATAAACCTCTTAAGCCACTAGTGAAAAACAAATACCACTCTAATGCTAGCTGTTTAGTTTTGTTGTTAATTTTACATTCATTAAATGTGTAAATTTCACGCAGTTCTCAGATTATTTTCACCAACCTTCACGTTTAATTAGTGATAATTCGAATACTGAGACTTTCACAAGACCATAAGTAATGCTGTCAGTCTAATGGAGATAATATATGAACCCACCCCACCGATGCCCGGCCTGGGAGTTGCATCAATGACATTTCGCTTGACGTTCATCGTCGTGTGTCTATACAGCTGATCGTAGGCGTAGTCCGTGCTTCCTGTACACGCGGATATGTATCCCAGCTTCCACCGCTGTTTCGTCGCATAGAAGGCAAACTATATTTCCAGGTATATCGTAAAATAGAATAAAAGTTAAATATTTATTTCTAGTTAGTCGGAATTTGATAAAGAATTTCCCCTAACCTTGCAATAAAAAATGGTCAATGTTACAAGTTTCTTCTATAATGTCTTGCGAGTATTTCAGTTTCGATTTGGATTTTTCATCTAATTCATATACGTCATTTGTGTTAAGTCTTACAGAATGCAGGATTATTGAGGAAACATCCACCGGAATATCGATGACTCGAATTTGCTGTAGATGAGATCATAGCTCAGCTATGTCCTCGAGTATTGTGTTTATAAAGTATGTCCGTAACGTGTAGCTTATCATGAACTGATTCAACGTCTTTGTGTTCCAGCTGGTGAGGTATTATTATTTACAGTTAGCCTCTCCCTTGGCTCGAGTGTGCCAGTTGAGCATTTTTTTCTGCTAAAGTAAGTACTGAATTAATGCAGTTGATATCCATTCAAATAAAAACATCAGTGAAACTCTTTGTTTTACAATTTATCACGGTTTTAATTGGGAAGATCAAATCATAATAAATTGTTGTATTGTGGTCTTGCTTTCAAGACATTTGTTGTTATTTTATAAATTAAAAGTTCTGTTTTATGATTGCTTTTAAATTTAAATGTGTACCCTTAATGTTTTTTTTAATTTTTTTGTGAAAGCTAAGAACTCAAGATGCCAACTCCAGCCATGGGCTCAGGGGAGGGGCCACGCTCTGAACTCCAAGAACTTCAAATGAAATCTGATCAAGTTACGGATGAGTCATTAGAAAGCACCAGGCGCATGTTGGCCCTCTGTGAAGAAAGTCATGAGGTAAGATAATGTTTCTTTCGTTATTGTTTTTAATTGAAGAGCATGTACTCAGGTAATCCTATGTAACTTTTAGCTAAAAGTGAACATTAAATATCTTCTTAATGAGACACAGCCTTGCAGCTTGTGTCTACAAATAATATTAAATTTTGACAAAAAGTAACTCAGTGTCGGTCAAAGATTCCTTGTAATTATCCTCAGCCATATGACCAGTTTTTCCTTTTCAATTTCACCCTAAGGTGGCAAAGATCTATCTGCTCTTGAGCGCGCTTCAGTTATTCTTATAAGTTTTTTTTTTTTTTCAAAAATGTATGTACCTATTTGTTCCTGAATTAATTTGTATCAGGAACAAATAGCTTATTTTTCTAAATTAGAGTAACAAACAAATTATACTTGTAAAGTACTGGTGTCTTTTTTCAAATAAGGAATAATGAATTCAAATTAAATTATTCGTTGATATTTAATTATAAAGATTTTTCATGTCCATTTTTCCTACTTATCAGACTAATGAAGGTTACTAATGAAGACTTAAAATCTATATATTTCATAAAATTGGGATGAAACTTGATTAAATTTGATTAATGGGCTTTACAGGGTCTGAAAGTATGTGAATGCTCATGAAGCTGTGTAACGACCTAATAATGATTTAATAAAATGTCTTTTAATAGCTCTAAAAATACTATATTGTTACAATATTTTGGCTATATTCTTCAAATTTTATTTTCTACTCTATACTGATAAATAAATCCTAATTTCACATTCTCATTCAGGGCAGACAAAACAGATTGACCTAAAATTTACAATTTTTAATTCTCTCAAGCAATTGCAGCAATAGTACACCTGATCTGTCCAAAAATGTACAATTTTTCTCTTGTAATTTCTGTAGGTAGGAATGAAAACACTAGTAATGCTGGATGAACAAGGTGAGCAGTTAGATCGCATTGAGGAAGGAATGGATCAAATCAATGCTGACATGCATGAAGCAGAGAGAAATCTATCTGGCATGGAAAAATGCTGTGGGCTGTGTGTGCTTCCCTGTGGCAAAGGAACCTCTTTTAAAGAAGATGACTCTACTTGGAAGGGTACAGAGGATGGGCGTGTGGTGGACAGTCAGCCCAATCGCATTGCTCCTAACTCCAATGGGGCCCCCGCCCCTGCTCCACAAGGTGGTTTTGTCACTAGGATCACTAACGATGCTCGTGAAGATGAGATGGAAGAGAACATGGGACAGGTGGGTGCTAATTATCAATTGCTCTAAAAGTCTATTCAATAGTTTTCATGATTAACCTAAATGATAAAATTACCATATCGTAATCCCTTATATATATTTTTTCTTATAAAAATGAAGTTGCTGAAAGCCAATTTGATGATCCCTTGGGCTTATTCATTATGCTAATTAAAATTTGTTTTATATATTTCTTAACCTCATCAACAAAAATGTATTGTGTAAATATTTCTATAAGACTCATTAAATCTTGGAAAAGATCTTACATGAAATCAAATTTTTCAAATTCATTTTTATTTTAAATTATTCATAGTTTGATAATGTTCTTTGGCATGGACTATTCCCAAAAAATCATAACTGCAATGAATGACAATGCACTTTAAACTACAAAAAGTAGTAATCTTCAGTTCACAGCATAATAGTAAAAATGAAGTTGGAGGCTGTACAAAGGGTTCTGTGGTCAGTAAGAGGTTTTGAATCTATGATATACTGAGAGAGATTGAGTATTAATATATTAAGCTATGTGTAGGACATTTGTGGTGTTCTTACAGCCTCTACAGTTGACCACTGGAAAACTCTTTATTTCAACTGTGGTTTCATGACAATCCTTTTGCAGCACTAGCAACTGAGTGACAAGAGGGTAGGTCTATAGCTGCAATGACATTCAGTAGTGAATGGAGGTAATACTAGTAGAGAAATAAAAGGTCAGATTTTTGCTCAGAAATGGTTCATTTAGTCTTGGGTTTTTTTATTCACAGTAAATCTGTAATACAGGACAATTTGATTTACGTTCTCTCAAAAGTAAAGTAGATAGGCTTGAAGAACTCTGTATTCAAATATAAATACCAATAAACCGTAATTCCAGTGACACAATTATTAAAAAATTATTTATGTGTACAAACATTTTCCACTTTCGTCCAAGCTCTCTTAATTCAAATTACCTACTCTTTTTATCTATTTGTATCTTCTTTTTTTTTTTCCTTCTTTCTTTTTTACAAATATGATAGGAGGAAGGAGGAATTGAAAAACTAAAATAATCGTCAAAATAACAACCAGCCCCACTTCAGGGTAAGGATGCATTTTTCAGTTAGGCATTGTTTCAGTGCATTCTTTTGTTTTCTGGCTATTAATTGGATCAAAGCTGACATTCAATCAAGTAAAGTGTGTTAAGTTTAGACTATTAATGTAGGTAGTTGTCACATTAAAACATGTATTCATGTGCTTGCTCATGATTTTCGTAGTGTCCCAGAATGACTCGTGAGCTTGTACACAAAGAACTCAGCTCTATCGATGCAACACAGTCATCAAAGAATATGTTAAAGAAGCACCATCCCAAAAAGTTAATTTTTAAAACTGCATTAGTAACCATTACTGTTAATGCGGGTGGGGAGAGGTAATTTGACAGTGGTTTACTTTTAATTGAGATTTAACCGGTAAAGCACAGCCAAAAAATGTCAGGACATTTAACATAACTTCTCTATTATCTGATTGGATAATTACAAATTATGTGGTTGTAATGAATTGAATGACATTCCTTCATTGCAATGAAACCATAGTTGAAATCATTTATCGACAACTGTTTTAATAATTTGTCACCTTCTTGGTCACATTGACCTGAAGAATTTTCAATTTACTGATTTCTGAGAATTATTACTGGTTTTTATTGTTTTTCATTAAAAAAATAAAATATCAGACTTTTGAAAACATTGAACATAAAACATTGGCTTAAAAAAAACCATGTTAAATCTACAAGTGATGTTTTCAAAACATTGACATTGATGTTACATCCTGACTCTACTCATGAGCTTAGCTTTATAAGTATATAAACTGCTGTATCTTTATCTTTTTATTTTACAATTAACATGATGTATACCATCTGTGATTTTAGGTAAGCAACATGATTGGTACCCTCCGCAACATGGCTCTAGATATGGGATCTGAATTGGAAAATCAAAACAAACAACTGGATCGTGTAAATCGCAAAGGAGAATCAAATGAAGCACGGATAGCCAACGCAAACCAGCGTGCACACAACCTGCTCAAGTAAGCGCTTCATTGAGCCCAAGGTTGTGCCGGCCAGAGCGCCTGCCCGCCCGCTTCTGTACTTACTTGTCAATATTCCTCGTACAATGTAAGGCTATTTTTGTGTACAATGTTTTAAACATATTTTGTGAATTTTGAGAGTCAATGTATTTTGTGTAAAGAAAGATATATTATTATATAAGAATATTTTCTGTAATGTAAAAAGATGTGGGATTATTTTCTGCTAAAGTAAATTTCTTGTAATATATTGTGTATACATATATGTACTTCATGTATTAGCTGTTCCATATCAAAACAATGTTGCAAAGTTTTCGTGTGATTAAGCATGGAATGTTTATTAAATTTCTGCAATGTTAGTTCTTTGCTTCTACATGTCTACATATATGTATTTCATGAAACTGGTGTCAATTCTACTTACTGTCAATTGAAACAAAGCTTCTACTACTCCAGGTGTGGCTTTGAGTGTTTGCAGTACAAGTATTTGTAAATATGTTGGATAGAGCACAGTGTATTAATGTTAACTGTTTCTATAAATATTGAGTGTTCAGATACATGCCAAATGGTGATTGAGATTGACTTGTTGGTGATAAGCAAAGAAAGCAGTCTTTTTGCGGGAACTCTTTGCTTTATTTGTTGCAAATGATGGTTATGTATACACAATTATGTACACTTGTACAGACATGTTCTCATCTCCTTGGCAGTAAAGGCTGCTTAAAGAGCAATAATAATATCTATGACATGGTACAATAATGCTCATTGGAAAATGAGTTTTTAAGCATTCGATAAAAGTTATTTTTTGAAAGAATTCACAAAAAGCATATCTGATTAGTAATAAGGCTGTTCAGTTCACTGAAGCTTCAAGCTTCAGAGATCTCAACAATTCCAAGAGCAAGAGAAGCAATTAAGCTCTTGACTTTGCCAGCACTGTTGGGGGAAGGGCAAAAGATATATGAAAAGAACAGTGCTGGTTAATTTTCAGTACTGAGGGGCTTAAATAAAAAATATAATAGCAAAGAATAGTATTCTTAAATGAAGTATTATAAATTCTCTGATAATGATTTACATTTGTAACAAAATATATAATTTCCACACAACGTGCAACAAGAAATTGCCACAACATATATGCAAGTGGTACAAAACTACCAGCAGATATGCACATAGTATGAATGTGTGAATGTATGGGAGGGGGCTATGCCTGGCCACGTGGCAGCAGTTCTGGCCTATAAAGGTGGTCTAACTCCACCCTTCCTAGCATCCTGGGCTGCATGTGCAGTGGTCCCCTCAGCATATGTTCCAGCAATTTGTACAAATTAAATACAATGGCTTTTGGCAGTGGACAGAAATTGCACATTACACACATTCATACTGAAACTGTTATAAATTATACATTTAAAATACATTTGTATAATGCATACATATGGTTTTTAAATATGTACAGTGAATCTCTTCACGGATAAAGCTCGCATACCGAATGGAAAGGTTCTGGCAACAGTGATAGATGTTCTTACTGCAATTCTTGGTGTTCTATGTCCAAAAATGTACTTTCAAAGCTGTTTCTCAGAGACAGAGGGAGTTTAAAAAAATTCAATGTTTGTCACTCGTAGGAGTAATCTAAATGGAAAATTTTCTGTTATGACTTCTGTCTACATGTTCATCAGCAGTATGGCAACATGTCTCTTGTATTGGCCAACGCACAACCTGGGGCACAAATAAAGATTATTAGTGAGACATGTAGTCTCCATTCTTTTTCTTCTTCTCCAGAACCAGTATGATTTGAACCCACATCACATCTGAACATGAACAATACAAAATAAACAGACATAAAACTATCTGTTGAGGAAACCAATGCAATTGGTAACTACTGTTGAACACCATTTCGTCCACTTAGTGAGATTCAGTCTAGTGTACATGGTTGACAACTCTGATCATTTTATACAATCAATAATCTCACATTCACCATCTCCACAACCATAGCAGGTGCTAAACTGTACAAAACAATTTCCAGATCATTTGACTTTATACCTGATGTTGCAGGACATGTGTGCTTCAACAGGCAAGCTTAGGAGAAATCTCAATAACATGACTAAAACAAAATCACTAGAAGCTCCAAGACCAAGAGTCTCTTGGGTAGTTCTGTTTGTTTCATCTTCCTTTTTCTGAGTGATTTTTGTTTTAATTTTTTTCTATTTCAGTCTTCAGCAGCTAACAGCTGGGGACAAGTTAATTCTCTTCACTGCAAGCATGCCTGCACTTTCTCTATCCACTCCTGTGCCATTGACGCATCACTTGCACAGAAGTTATATGTACGTCGGCTGGTTCGAAGCTGTAACATATTTATTAAGTGATAAATGAATAATAAAACAATGACTATACACATGTCAAGAAGCACAAAGTTAAATGTGTCTGGGTGATATTATGCAATGATAAATCATAACAATCAGGCTCCAATGCTTCAGGATTTTCTCCCTAATTGAACTGGCCAAACTCTGGGACTCGTGATTTCAAACCATCTTTGAATTATTGGAATGTTTTTCCCCCTAGGACATTTTTTCAATTTTTGTTTCAAAGTTATTATTTACTGGACAAATACTTGGTATCGTCCAGGCTTTCTTCCATATCAAATCCTTGTGAAAGATCAATACCATACAAACCATGAGTTCAAGATTATTATTTTTAGTGGAATTGGTTTAAATTTTAATAAAAGAAATTTGCTATTACATTAAATATGTTTATCTTATGCACTACTACTGGCCTCTAGCGAATTAGATACCTGCACCACTACTGGTCTCTGACACTATATTTGGAACCAATCTGCTGTTCATGATAGGTGAAAAATAATCATCATGGTGCATCTACCAACATATTATTTAAATTATTTACTTTCTGTTTTTTCCTAACTTTGCAAACAATGCTGTCTCAATTTTGAAGAGCATCTAAACATTGTGCTGCACTCCCAGCACTGCAAATCTCTGAGGCATCCCTTCCCCAGTCTCACGCAGACCCCAGAGGCTTGACGCCACTCTTGGTCTCTCGTCCCGTGGCAACCGCCTCACCTCGAGCCCGAAGCTCGAAGCTCGCGATAACCCCTGACAGGTGAAAAGTGCCTTTCGCTTGGTGATTCCCTTCGAAAATGAATGACCACGGTTGGTTACTCTCTAGCCGCCTTGTGAGGGTCCACGTGCCAGACCTCCCATGCCGGTGGAGTCCTCTCATCCCGAAACGTGGGCGCGGGTGCAATTCAGAGCCACCTGCACCGCGCTGGACTCGCCCATCATCTCCCTCTGTGCCAGTAGACACCCGCGTTTCGAGACACGCCCACCCTGGCCCTTGAGGAGGGCCCGCCTCTGGTGGCCTTCCCCTTGCTGCCAAAGGACTGCCCCCACCCCCTCGCTGGCCTCCCGACGTGTGGTCCATCTGTCTCATTGGCACGACATTACACAATATTCTTTGAAAAATTTGGAGCTGTTTTTAAGAAAATTGTGCTCAAGCCCTACTGTAAAATGGAACTATGAAGCTCTTTTTCACAGACAATTTTTGAGTTTTTGAAAAACTTCGTTACAAATCATTTGAAGCATTTTAACTTGCATATACAAGCGTTTACAAATTGCTCGAAATGTTCATTTTAACAACTTGAGAGATCTTTTAAATAAATTACATTTGTGTAATTTTTGAAAAAACAAAAATATACCCCAATATAATCTTCCATCCATAATAATCCATAACTTTAAAGCCTGTCAACTGTTATCAAATTTTACTTCACTGAAGCCCACAGCAAGCTTTGGAATTCATGATTTTTTTAAAATTCGAAAACATTATTTTGATCTTAGACTGGAGAGGGAGTGAATTTAATGTTCACCTAAATATTCATAAAGAGGGCACTACAATTATTTACAAACAAAAAATTATCCATTTTGACTGAGAGTACAGACTGTCTCTTCATGTGTTAAATACTTTTAGAACCAAAGAAATGTGTCCTACTGCAATTCAAGAGGAAACTTGAATTAAGCTGCTTATCTGGTTGGGTTAGTTGAATATATGACCCCCCCCCCCTCCCCCATTGATTGCTAAGGTGTTATTCCTCTGATGAAACTCTACACCAATCACATTTTTATTCTGTAACACACAGAGCATCATTAAAAAAAATAAATTTTTCAAAATAATCTATATTATTAATTTTCTATACACACACAACTTGAAAGAAATCTATGCAGCCTCTGGCCTTTCGAGAGGTGTATATGGATTTGGTAGATACCTTGGTATAGAGGTTTCTTTTATGATGAGAATATAATGCATATAAATAATTAACATAACTGATGATCCATTGAAATATTCAATTCTGACAATAATCTACAATCTCAAACTGTTAATAAGCATTGCAATAAACAACCCAAAAAGGAAAATTGGAGATACTCACATCAAAAAATGATTTGTCGTCAGTTTTCTTTGGAGGTCCAGGCGCTGGAGGAGCTGGCAGTACAGAAACTACTTCTGCCAAATCTACAAGACAAGAAATTGCTTTCGTTTACATGTTAGATTACTTGTATTACTTGAAATATATTTACCTTTATAGCAAATGGTATTTATGCTCTTATTCCATTTTTAAGTTACACCAGAAGTGATTTAAGCTTTTAAATACCTTGTACCCATGTAGTGGGAGAGAACTGAATATGTTTAGATAGATTTGGATTCTAACAATTTTGCATCTTGCTAACAACTCAAGTTTATATTCAATGAACAGTGCTAAATGAATGCTCAACTGACATGGGAAAGTCATCTCAGAAAGAATTGACAAAAGCATACAATGATCTTAATGATGTTGGAGATGCCTCTTTTATTACACAATGGGACATAATTCCTAAGCTGAAAGATTACAGCTTTGTAATTTGCCTCAAAAAAGTGGAACCTAAATTATTTTCAATTCCTTGCTGGTACATATTCATTTCAATCTGTAACAATATCAATGGTCTTTAGTTCTGATTCTGCAAAGGAATTGCTTCGATGATAAGAACTCAACATCGTTTCAGGAATATTTTGTTTACTTGGGGTTTCTTCTTCTTGGCGCGTGAGGGCCTGTCTTCACGATGGAATATCTCATGACATTTCGCGAATTTCTCGTGCTGCTAGATGTCGCATGATTGCTTGATTTGGCTAGTCACGATATATAAATGTACATCTTACACTGTGGTTAGAATCTAGGGACTCTAGATTCGATTGCAATCATGAGACTAAGAAAGACGCAAAATACCATAAGACACGAACATTCTTTACTCAGCAGATGGCCATGCATCAGGTATTCCATAGTGAAGACATGCCCTCACGCACCAAGGTATAAAAACTCAAGTGTAGTTCTTTCTTCTTCCAAGAAATATAATACTGCAATTTTTCAATGGGCAGAAATAAGTTGTTTTTATTGCATCAACTAATACTACCATTGTTGAAAATGCAGAAACAGCAACAGTTCCTCTTAAGATGCTACATAGTTTTAATATTTTTATTATTATTGGAATAGTCATCAGACACCTCAATAATATTGGAATTGAATTGTTACTTAGGATTACAGTATTCTCCCATATAATTTCATTGTATTCAATACAACAAAGGAAAGTCATTTATCACTAATCATAAATATATAATGTAAATGTCTTGAAAGTATCTATAAAAAATGTTTCAACTTCATCACTACTAATAGTATGATTTTAGTATACAACTTATACTGTAAGAACTGTAAGATAAAGAAACTTGTTCTGCAATTTGTATGGCATTATTAAAACATTTATGCATGTTCTGTTGACACTGCATTGTATCTTGAAAACAGTGGGCTGTAATTGTTGGACAACTTGTTCTGTATATTTGATGATAAATTGTAACAATGCAAATCTCATAGGGTATGAAATGTTGTGATAACATTTTTGAGACCAACAATTTGACTTGTTCCAAATAGATTGCAAATGGGTTACAAACACTTCATTTAGATTGCCACACTGAAGGTTTGTAAAAAATTTATTTCCAATTTGGATATTTCCAGACTGAAAACCTCATTTCCCTTGGTTAATATCAACCAAATTATTAATATCAACAACATTAACATGTACATAATTATTGTATTATTCCAAACACCTATTGAGAAATTAATGATATATTACTGTTAATTCATATTATAATTATCCATGAAACGTTTGAATAACATTAAATCGATACAATTACTTACCTATGTAGCCTTTACAGTGAGAGTCTTCCATTGCATCATAATAACGTAGCTGATGTTTGATAGAGTCTAAAACAAACCATCTTTGCTTCCAACCTTTCAACAATGCACCTCTTTTATACAGGTAGCCTTCATGAGTACGATTTTCAGCAACATTAGATGAAAATTGGTCATAATATTGTTGGCTTGATGTTTGGATGGTAGTAACACCTAAAAAAACAGAAATATCTTCAGTGCCAAAAAACTTAATCAAACTAGGAAAAGTAAACACACAATGCAAATACAACTATTACAAGACCCTTAACAATTATTTCATAACATTATATATACATAAAAAAACCATCCAAAGCACTTACTAGAACTAACAGAGCCAGTGTCACCCCCGGTGCGGGTGAGGGTTTGTGATGTGAGGTTGCCATCTTGAACAGCTTTGTACTTTGTGCAGTTCTTTGGAACACCATCCACACACTTTTCATGACAACTGTACCCACAGTCCATACATCGCATTCCAGTCTAAGAGTAGGTAAAAAGAATAAGAAAAGGAGTATCAAAACTGTCCCCAAAACCCACTTTTACGTTATTTACTTTTATTCCATTTATATTATTAAAAGGTAACAGTTAGTATTGGTGAGACAATGCATTATTATTAATAATAATAATTATTATTATTATTATTAAGATTTTTTAAAATATTTAAATAATGTAGTTAGGATATTAATAAGTCACTTTAATTTACCACAACAGGGAAAGAAAAAAAAACAAAAGAAAAGAGGAAATATATTAATAGCTAAAATAAAATTTGAAGCCTGAATCGAATTCTTGAGTACTTGCCTTGACGGGCCCCCACAACACACTTGTGCACAAATCACAGTACGTGGGTGTGGTGAAATTGTACCTCTCAAAGCGATGTGGATGAGAGTACACAGGAGCTTGTTCAGCAGCCCCCACTAGCTTCCCTCGCATCAAGATCTCAAGTGTGGAACGTTTGTGAAGAAGACGTCCATGTGAGCGCACCAATTGAGTGCTGAACGATGCATGCCTCTGTGAGCAAAACAGTTTGATTACAACAATATTGTATATCTTCCCTTCCATTAAGTAAAATTGGTTAAGAGTATATGTAAGGAAAAACAAAAACATACAATCATTTCAGTTATGTTGTTTATCAAACACTGATTACAGGTCTACAAAGAAAGAAAGAAAGAAGAAAAAGATATATTTTTCACATCCCAAAATGTTTTTTAACTTCAATGATTACAGATGGAACTTCCTTCCTTCTACATCACATCAGGTTTTTAAAAAATATACAATTAAAAATCTTGATAACATTCTTTGACTTAAAAATCTGCTAACACAATTTGACCACCAAAATAAAATAAAATAAATGTAATGAAATCCAGCTCCTGCTACAATCTTCTTAAAAGGCAGAGTTAAGAACACAAAAATTAAACACATTAACTGACGACATATTAAAACTAATGAATTACATAGAAAAGGCATAAAAATAATTGTTTGAATTCGTGCATCAAATCGGTCAATAGAACTGTTGTCACATATTTAAAAAAACTTATTGTGCCACTTATTCTCTTGTGCATTCTAGCAGGGCTATCACATTGCAGAATCAAACACTAGTTAGCCATCTTTGATGTATTCCTGCAAATCACGTATTGCCTTCCATTGTCGTTAATGCACTTTCCTAATTTTACAGGAGAGCGATTTCCCCTTTCCAAGATAAATCAGAAATATAGAAAAAAAATAAAATTGTTTGGTTACATGTATTCAAAATTTATCACATTTTTATGTACATTACAAATTATATTGAAAATCTTGAACATGAGCTGTAAAAAACAAAAATCTGACATCGAGTTCTGCCTTACTGTCCTAAGCCAGTAACATGATGTGGCATACCAGAATGTATGGCATTTTCAGGGTCCCTCTCCTTCACTGCTATCTTCGTTATCATTCCTTGATGATTGATGACTGCTGGCCAAGTGACTGTAGAATTGATGACAATATTCAGAAATCAGCAGTAATAGGCTCAAGTAATCTCTCTTTTTCACAAGATTTATAAGCAATGATGAGTTATATCTGAGATTAAAAGATCTGCTTCGCATACTGACAGATCTGATACCTCAACCATTTCCTTTTCAGCCAGTTTATCCTTTCATTATTGACATCTGTATTATTCTTAATCTTAATTCAGGCCATAAGAATTCAGAGAAAGAGAAGGAACCCTGCTGCATCATCTCTATCACTTTAAAAGGCTTCTTCCCTCCAGTTCTTGCAAATTGGTACCTGCTCTTGGTGCCATTATTGGTATATTGGTCTCCTTTTTATCCTATTCAAGTTTTACATGATTCTCTAAACGAGTGAGATCACGTAAATGATATTTCAGGCCAATTACTTTCAGTTTACACTGGCACTTGCAATGAGACTTAGCATTAATGTCATGTTAATATTTCTGTTTTGACCACTACAAGTGTTAAAATAACTGATTACGTGTGACACAGTAGGTGGAAGATTGATTAATTATTTATATAAACCAGAGGGAATTTGATGAGAACCTCTTCCACCAACAGTTATGTTCCACAGGCAGCATTCTGGGCCTCTAATTATAGAGCTATCTCGGATTGTCAAATTGTAGGTTGCCTGCAGTGGTAAACAGCATTTGCAATCAGCATTTACAATCTATATATGATTGTGTGTTCAATACTAGTTGGAGATCAAAGATTAAAACTGTTTTCCAGGGTTTTGATGATTTAAATCAAGTGATTTTGATCACTGATTTAAATCACATGATTCACCACAAATATTATTTATTTAAATCAAAAATATAATTTAATGTAAGATTTACAAAGAATGATTAAAAATGTTATGGTCAAATAAAAGAAAAATATATCCAGAAAACTAAGAAGACAATATTAGAAAGAAGGTGAGGAATAGTGGAGAAGAATAGATTTCTATAAAACCAAAGTTTGTGTCAGCCAAAGTTCGCATTGACATTAACCCTTGCAAATAAGAATAGTGTACATTCTCATCAATTGCAAATGACAAAAAGATGGTGTGATTTGTGATTTTTATAAATTGGATAATTATAAGACTCGAAATGCATGTTTATTTGGTCTAATTAAGCCTTTTCTTGCAAGAGAGGGTATTTAAAGGACAGAACTAATGATTGTAAAACAAGAACAATTGTTGTAAACCCCCAAAAATTTAATGAAATATTCATATTTTTTTCTAATTATTTGCAAAAAAGTTGCTTTGATATGTATAAACAATTGTGTTGCTTTGATATGTATTTGAGGAAGATTTAAATGATCAATTGTTTCTGAGTTATTTTATGAAAGCTTTAGTAAAATACTCAATATCTCAGAACTAGGTCAATGTGTGGTAGTCCCCTTGTTCTACTCAGCTCTTCAATTTTTTGTCTCTTTTTTCAAATACGGTATAATATAAATAATACTGCAATGATTTTACATTTGTTTTTGAAAACTTCACTTTCGAGAATTGTAGCACATGCGTGGGTGTTGAAGGATATAAAAAAATTATATAGATAATGTGATTCACAGCTCGCTTAAACATCATTTTCGTAAAAGCTGCTCCATTTTTTCTAAGGAAATTGCCACTTACGACGTTTTTGTTCCTAAAATAAAATTTCCCATCCTGTATTAGGAAACCGAAATAATAAGAACATTTCAAAATAATGTCCTTTGAGCGGCAAAAGATGGCAACTGGCAAGAATATGTGGCAGGTCCGAATAGCAAGTAGAGACCAAAGGAAATAGAAAACTAATATGGGCAAGTCTGTGCCTTTCTGTAGCATCACTAGTATTATATTTGCAGAATCACATTGACATTGCCTCTGGAGTTGCTACACACTGTTTGAAACATGTTTTTATAGATAATATGCTTAATGTTGTAAATTTTCACTTCATAACTGGCAGTACTAACATGGAAATGTTATATGCTACTTCTTCCCTTCCTTTCATCATTTTTTGCTCTGATTGTAATACGACTAAATAGAGTATTCTCTTATGCCTACTTACTAGAATTCCTGCAAAAACATTTTCTTTGATGGATAAAAAATATGTTGGGCAATAATAAAAACCATGACAAATACATTTAATACTTAATTTAATATTTCACTCATTACTTTCTGCTAACATAATTTTCATAATTCTTCAGGTTTAAGCTACACCTTATTTATCTGATGGAGACACAATAGAGCACTGAAATGTATTTTCACGACTCTTTGTGAAATAAACTATGTTTATGAACAGTTAATTTTATTTCAAATGAACTGCTAATATAACTGTACTAAAGTTACTAACTATAATAAAGTTAAATCTGATTAATAGAATCTATAATCAATCAATAACATTGTTAATAAATAAATTTAACAATTACAGTATTTTCAGCACATAATACGAAAAGCAAGAATGATTTCACACAAGCCCACCTTGATTACTTTGAAGTGAGCTTTCGATTTTTGAATACCATAATCAGCCATCAAAGTTTCTTAAATAAAGAACTGTTTTTGTTACTTCTAAGTTAAATTTATTACCTTCCTGGAATTGATTTCCTTTCACAAGAATATTATCTATATCATACTATCATCACGACTGACAACAATAGAGTGAATTGGAAGAATTCTGAAACCTCTGTGTTGTCATTTTGCAAACTGACAATGTGTCAAACAATGCCTGCAAAATTCTAATTTACAATTCCGATTTTTTTTCTTCTATCTTCGGTTTTCGAAAATACAGAGAGCGCTGAAAATGGGGCTAGCTCAACGATCTTTTCATTTCTTTGTTACATACGAGGGGAACATTTTGGGGGAAAACTTGGAGCAGTTTCCGAGAAAATAATTGTTTAATACTTGAAAATTCCTTATGAATAGCGTAAAATACCCAAAAATACTCATATTTTCGAAAAATTGAACGTGACCTCATTTAACGATCTGTCCGATGAACACATTCCTTTAAGAAAAAATGTATTTGTGGAAAGACACCAAACAAATTTTGAATTTTGGCAATTTTCAAAAACAACGATTTCTACGAAAATAAGACCTGGGCATTTTCTTAAGCGTCCTCTGAGGGCAAAACTTTAAAAGAACATTTTTAAAAATCGCAGAGTAAAGCCAGATCGACCGGGAATTTTTTTTTTTTATTAATTTTTTTTTATTTTTTAAAATTTTTTTTATCTTATGAATAGGCGCTAATGCGGTTCACATATGGGCGGGCGTTTTCAAAAAGGCTCTTTTTCGGTATCAAGGAGCCACAATTTCCGAAATCTGACAAAATAGAAGTGTTAGGGGTAGTACTTTGCTACATATTTGAAAAGCATTTATCCACTTTTTCTGAGACAGAGCCCCCACAATACGAGTTTTCTGACGAAAAATAGCCGCTTTTTTACCGCAATATTACGTAACTTTCTTTATACTACGTACATTTCTCCGTATACGAAAAAGGAAAAATTGGAGCCATGTTTAAGAAAATGTTGGGTTTGATGTAAAGTACCCCCAACCAAAATGTGTGTCAAATTCCAGACGCCTTGACATCAGCTTTACCAGCCAATTTTGGTGAAAAACCTGCCTAGGATTTAGCTGGTAGTATAATTCACAAACGGAGAGACAGCGCAGTTAGAACTTAACGAAGTTCCGTCAAGCCACATGGGAACCCGGTGTCATTATCCGAATTATTTAACAACGCTCCATGAAGTAACGGAAGTAAAAAAACTCGACACAACATGGATACCTAAATGGGAGACAGTCTGGGAACCCCAGTTTCTGATGGCGATGCGGGCGAAAAAGGGACATTTTTTTTAAAGATAGTAATTGTGCTGGCCTTCGGGGATAAAAGGTAATTTACTTACGACGTAACTGTATTCACAGAGAATCACTTCACGATCAATGACAAAAATGCTTGGAACTTAATTTCGCGAGTAGTAGTGCGAGTCGCTAGCCGAACTGCTTAACTACGTACTATGAAGTCACGGAGGTTAAGCGATATTAGACCTAGATGGTTCCTGGACGGGTGAACATCTGGGAACCCCAGGGCGCCTATTCCCTGGAATAAAAGACAATATCCGACTACATTAAAGGAAGCTTATTCCACTACATGTTCGAGGCCATTACGTGGCTATAATAAAACGTTACGAATTTTAACACTGTTTCAAGTAACAGATTGTTGTCAGCACTTACGCATCATCATACAACACGCATGAAAAAGTAGAAAACAAAGATCTACATTATTAGTTGAGAGCTGTCATTGCCAGTACTAATAATCATTGTCTGGATCACATGCTTTGTCGACGTACTGGATGAGAATAAAATTTGGTTGCGGTAAGTCCACAAATGTGCATGTGTGTAAGCCATCTTTCTCCCGAACCATGCTGGAGACCACAGCCATCAGCACGTAACCACTGGCCAAAAGAAGAAGAGATTCTCAGGCGACAAAGCAGCTTTGGGGGATGGGATAGAGAAACGCCAATGAGAAGACCGCGATTGGAATGCCAACATCACATCACTGTCGGCCGAAACCACGCACGACTGTATTCAATGACCTCTATAACGAAGCGAGAAGGTCCAAAGGATGTTTAACATCCCTGGAGTAGTCTCAAACGCCTAAGTAATAATAAGGTACTTTAAATTAGTGATATTTGTTTTAGAGGGTACGTAGATACGCCTCTGACTACATAGCACTATCACATTTGGCATTCAAGGCGTAGGATTCTTGCTAAAAGTGACAAAACGAAAAAACGTCGAATTTTCGGCAGAGAAACTCTTATTACAAGGCCCCGGCAACGAAAAAGTTGCTAATTTAGAAAAAAATCGAACAAAACAAGTGGTGTTTCTAGAATCCCTGTTTTGTACGTCCTTGATACTGAAAAATCGATTGAAGGCAAAACGTCTGTTCGTCAGTCTGGGCCTGTCTGTGAACAACGCTAGGGGATAAAAGCTAAATGAATTAATCATCGAATAAGGCAGTTTTATTTTTTGCATGATTTTGATACAATGTGATTGCCAATTTTTTCATTATTTGAAAAATCATATCAGTTGATGTGGGTGCAGATACGTTGTAGATGAAACGATTGAAGAAGCTGGACATAGTTTTGCGCCTCCCCTACCATTGTCACTAACAGCCTATCGAGTTGGTATGGAGCCAGTGCAAAAGATATTATCAGACATCGCGGAACCACTTTTGACCACCAAGCAGTGACAAGAAAATGGAAGCAAGCATTAAACCAGGTTTCAGTGGAGAAGTACGTGAACATTGAAATGCAAAACAAAATATTACCCAATTTTTTTTGCATGTAATTTGATATTGCAATGAGCAATGGCAATGCTCATCGCACAGCGTGACCCTCGA